TTATATATATTATTGTATATGATGTTATTATAAATATTATTGTATACGATGCTATTTTATATATATGTAATGTAATGTGATGTGACGTAATGTAATGTAATACATTATTATTATAATTTTTATCACTATTATCATTATTATCATTATTATTTCCAGGTCTGTGTGTCCCAGCGAGGGTCCCAGGAGGGGTCCAGCCCCCACCCGCAGGGTTTGCCCCAGGAGGGTGCCACAAGGAGCTCCCATTAACACCAGTCCCCTGCGGTTCGAGGTGCACAAACAGGAATCACTTAAATATGCAGATTCCTGAGGAAACTTCATTGGGTTCCACTCAGTGCAAATCAATTCCTGCACTAAAGGAATCCTGGCCAACTGCTGCCTCGCGGAGTCACAGATTAAAGCAATTTCAGCTTTGTGGAGAGCGCACGCTAAGGAAACACGAGGCACGTTAGAGGGAAACGTGTGAACACACACAAAGCCACACACACAAGCACCAAAAATACCACGGGATATAAGGAGGGAGCAACACTTACAGAGTCTGGAGCGGGGAACAGGGAAGGTGCCGAGATGAGCAGGCAGAGGCCACATCCAGCAGCTCAGCAGGGCTGAGGGCCCAAACCGTGTCTGACCACCCCAAACACCCCCCGAGCCAGGCTCAGCCACCTTAACCCTGCACCTAAAACCAACCCACAGCACCCACCTGGGCTCTGAGGGGCAGGGAGGAAGAGCCCAAAGGGTGAATCAATGGCAGCTGCTGAGGGGCGCTGAGTTATCGATCACAGGCCGATGGCTCTGGTAGAGGAGCCCACTGCGATGGGGTATGAGGAGCTCGGCTGCTGCCCATCAACTGGGAGGGACTGGGAGCCAGCCCTTGCACTGGAAATGGGGTGTCCTGCCAGTTCTTGTGTGTGGGGCAGCCGCTTTTCATGGCAAGTGCTCTCCTCCTTCAAAAGAGGCATCACTCTTGGGCTGCTCCGCTCCCATGGCCCGGTCTGTGCTGTGGCTGAGCACCCTGCTCATGTCTGGCTGTGTAATTTGTGCTGTAGTTATGTTTTCAAAGGGGAAAGCAGAGATTTGACATCTCAAGGGGCCTCTCCCCTGATCTGGTGAACAAAACCAGCAGCACAGAGCATGAATGTGAGCGTCCCCTTGTCTGCAGATGGAGGGAGCAGGCACCTTTCCCATGTGAGGGGTCATTAACTGGCGTTTAGGGCTCAGCAGAGCTGGAGGAAGCCGCCTGGTGGTGTAGGGGGCAGGAGGGAACCACTCACCCTTCTGGATGATCTTCTGGGCCTGCTTCCTGACGCGGGCGTTGCGCAGGAACCGCCACTCGCGCTCCTTGCGGATCTGGCTCTCCAGGTCATGCTCCTCGGGGATCTGTTGGTGCATCGGCACGGTCACAACACAGAGCAGTACCCAGCCAAAATCCACAAACCACCCTTGCAACACACGCATCAGACCAAGCCATCAATTCCTCAGGGCCCTAAGCGTCAGGCAGTAAACGGTGAAGCTCATGGGACCGCTCGTTATTAAATAATTGAGCATCTTTCTGATCTAAATCTTCCCCATCAGCTGCAATCTCTTCCCCTTTCCTTTTCTGTCTTACATTTTGGCTTGTGTTTAAGCCGTATTTCTCCAAAGTGAAGGATGCAGGGTTTCTGAAGAGCTGTGCACATCGGGTACCACACACACGGGGTTGCTGAGGACCCTCTCGATGCTGCCTGCCCCAGACACCCAAGCCCAATTTGAGGTTTCCACTCTGCTTCACGCTTCTCAGCCGAAAAGCGCCACGTAGCAACCCTGAGATTAAAGCAGGAGCACGGCTTCGATGCAGACAGAGCTCAGCACACACTAAAATCCTCCTTTCACTGCTAATAGATGACTGCAGGCCAAAAAAGGCATTACTTGCCAGCCCCTGAGATGCCTGAATTACCAACACCGCATTCACTCCTAACGGCCAACGTTTCGGTTTCCCACACGGGAGTCGGTTGGAGGCAAACGCTGCCCTGGTGTCACCTTGGTTTGGTGACACCCAAACCTCCTCCCGAAACTGGAGCGGCTCCGGAGCAGCCCCCAGCCACTCCGCTCCAATTTATTGTGTTTACTCACACCCACAGCTCCACGCTGTCCTGCACAACCTGGGCCAGGAGACCGGGATCCTGCTGGGAATTTGGGAAGCCACGGAGCTGCTCCCCACGACCGGCAGAGATCAGGGGGATCCCTGTCCTCAGCCAAAACACAGCATTAAAAGGAATAAACTCGTACGAGCGCATCCCCCAAACCACAGCAAGGGTTGTGTCTGATGTGTCTTTTATTTAATGCTTAAAAAGTCATCCCCAGGTAACACCACTGCTCTGGAATCAGTGAGGGGGCTGAGCTGCGGGACTTGAATTCGGCTGCTCCAAAGGAAGTGACTCTTGGGGAATGGAGACATAAAGCACCAAACCCTTCCCCATGCCCCACAAACACTCCCCCTTTTTATTCCTGAAAGTACTTAAACCATTGGCCACTATTACACACAACGTCTTCAAAATGCTCTATACTTTGGAAAACAACGCCTACTCAGCTGAATTTCCGCTTCTTTAGAATGAATACAAAATAAGGAACCCACCCCCTACCTTTCCTCCTGGCCAAAAATAATAAAAAGGCACCACTACTTCAATTTCTCAAGAATACAACGCCTATTAGGAAGGCAATGACAAATGACCAATAACGTAGAGCAATAAACAAACCGAGGATAAAATACATCAAAGGAGATCTGAGAGCGGAGAGGTCGCACCTACACCTTAATGAAAACCCAGCCTCTCTGGGAATTCATTAAAGTGGGACCCAAAAGGCCCAGGAGGAGAAGGGAAGGAGCAGGGTGGAAAATTCTCCTGCAGGCACCCAGTGGCTTTCACGGTTTAGGACCAAGGACCACGCAGTTGTGGAGCTGGGGGAAGAGCTTCAGCATCTGATGAATGGAGGGGCTGGGCCTTCAGGGCCGGGGAAAAAGAACTGCAAGGAGGATGAGCAGGTTCTGTCCTCTCCTGGCTTTGCTGTCTCCTGGCTTTGCCCTCTCCTGGTCCTGTCCTCTCTTGGCTCTGTCCTCTCTTGGTTTTGCAGTCTCTTGGCTTTGTCTTTTCTTGGTTCTTCCATCTCTTGGTTCTGTCCTCTTTTGGCCTTCTCCTCTCTCAGTTCTGTCCTCTCTTGGCTTTGCTGTCTCCTGGCTTTGCCCTCTCCTGGTTCTGTCGTCTCTTGGATCTCCCTCTCCTGGTTCTCCCTCTCTTGGCTTTGCCTTCTCTTGGTTCTCCTTCTCTTGGTTCTTCCACCTCTTGGCTCTGTCCTCTTTTGGCCTTCTCCTCTCTCAGTTCTGTCCTCTCTTGGCTTTGCTGTCTCCTGGCTTTGCCCTCTCCTGGTTCTGTCGTCTCTTGGATCTCCCTCTCCTGGTTCTCCCTCTCTTGGCTTTGCCTTCTCTTGGTTCTCCTTCTCTTGGTTCTTCCACCTCTTGGCTCTGTCCTCTTTTGGCCTTCTCCTCTCTCAGTTCTGTCCTCTCTCGGTTCTGCTGTCTCCCATCAGCAATGAAGGCACCTTCCTGCAGCCCCTGCCGTTCCCCCACGCTCTGGGCCGGTCTCTGCTCCCACCATCGCTGATTTTCCACTTCGTGCTCCTCCTCTTCCTCTGTGGCTGTGAGCACAGGGGAGGCGCAGACGCTCGCCCCAAGGATGACGGTGCTGGGAAGGGATGCTGTCACAGCCATCCGTCGCCTTACGACGCAACCCGGCTCCTTGCAGCAGCATCTGCTGACGTCTTGGCTCTGGTGCAGTTGACTCGACCGCGTCCCCTGTGCCAAAGGCTCTGCAGATGGGGGTGTCAGCACCTCGGATTTGGGAAGGGAGGCTCCTGCAAAGACGCTTCCCCAGGGCCAGCTGGGATCACAGCTGAAAATGCCCAAAATACACAGGCTGTGCGCTAGATACCGACTCCAGGCGGCTCCACTGCTGATCCAGCCTCTGGGTCCCACCAGTCCCTGTGTTATCCCTAAGCTGATTGATACTGGGTGGAATGTGGTGAAGAGAAGTTAAAAAGAGAGAGCAACGGGGCCTGAGCCTGCACAGGAAGAAACCTGGCACGATTCTGTGATATTATGGGAGGGTCATGGAGCTTTGAGAGATGAAAACCAGCAAGAATTACACAGAAAATCCCTGTGGGTCCTTCCAAAGCCTCATCAGGCAGTAAACGTACAAGACCCTTAATGAAATAAACCCCGCTGAACTCCACTGATCCTCAAAACGCGTGGTAAGTAACCGTAACCCAGCAGAGACGCTCTCTGCCAGTTCAGCCACGCGTGGCACAGGCTCTGTTGCTAAAACACCCAAGGTTTTGACCGGTGGAGCAGGAAGCCCAGGAGCACACAGGAGCACACAGGCAGGATGGGGTCCTGCCCTCCCTGCCCGTCTGGAGCCATGGGGGTGATCTTGTCCCAAGGGAGCCGTGATCTGATACGGACCCCACAAAGCAGAGGGGAATTGTGGTGACAAATGAGGACGTGACCACGTCAGGACAGGGCCTGCAAAACCAGAACTCGTCATTCAAAACCATGAAGGATTCGGGCTCATCGCTCCTGTCTGGGTGTCCCTCCCAGGCAGCTCCCATCACAAGTCACTTTGGCAAACAACAGCCCGGGTCTGGCTGCTGCTCAGCTCCCGCTGAGGCCCGGGGGTGTCGCAGACTGTGACGAGGCCCCGGCTGCCAACACCTCTGCGCTTCCACGCAGGCACAGCCCAATTCCCATCCCGAATCTTCCCACCACGCAAAAGTCAGCGCCGTTTTTCTTCTCTCCCTCTCGACGCAGTCGCCGGCCCTGGCAGGGGCGCAGGGCGGATCAGCAGACGGCTCCGCTGGCAAACGCAGCTCTTCCCCGCTTCACCGCAGCTCGGTGCTGGAGCGGAGGCAGGGCTTGCTCAGGAAGGAGCCCTTATGTGGTTCTCACCTTCCCGGATGCTCCCCGCGTGTGCTGCCAGCCCTGGCGCCGCTCCCCTCGCCGCAGGGCTCCCTGGCAGCTGCCACCGGGCTTCCTCCGCCTCCGGCCATGCCCCGCGGGTAGCAACCAGCGCAGCCTTTGCCAGGGGTGTTTGGGAACAGAAAAGGCTTCTGCGGAGACCAGAGCTGGGGCAGGGGTCCGTCTTTCCCGGCACGCCGAGGATTCGCAACGCCGCCGCGTTTATCTGATGAGTTACAACCAATTCATCAAAGCCGGTGCGACGGCTTGAAACCGAGCCAGCGATGAACGCTGGAAATGAATCCCTCCATCTTTCCAGCAAAAGCGTCCTCAGAGCAAGGTCTGTGAAGCAAAACTACATCCATAAATTAAAGACGACGGAGACGCACCCGCAGCCGTTTGATGTTTACTCATTCCAGGAATGGTTCTTTTTCCCTGTTGACGGTGGCAGGCAGCACCTCCAAGCGAAGCGCTGCAATCAAACGCCCATGGCATCCTTTGCCATCAGTTGCTCTTTGCCTTCATCACGAGGCTGGCGTTCCCAAAAGCTGCCACCAAACCCTGGTTGTCCCCATGGCTCCAGGAAAGGAGACGCTGAAACCCCCGGGTCCCCGCACGGCCCCGTCCTGCCCATGGACCCGCAGCAACCGGGGAAACAGCCCAGAAAGCTCCTGCAGAGGGGCTCATCCCATCCCCTGCACCCCTCGCTCTAATGACAAATACACAAATAAATCCCTGTCAGAGCAGCATCACGCACCCGTTTTTCTCCAGAACCCCCCGACTTGGCCTCTGAAAGCTGCTCCGCAGGTAATGGGGAAATCAATTCCCTTGCCTGTTTTATTAGAAAACTCGGTTTAGTTTTGCTCAAGCTTCACCTAAGGCGCCGCTGCTGCGGACAGCCCCTGCTCAGCCCCAGTGTATTGCCAAACAAAACCACTGAGGAAACCATGAACATGCTCCTGCTACACCAGTACACACTGGAGAGACACCAGTGCACCCCTGGGATGCCCAGGGAGGGGGTCAGCAGCACCCAAATTCCCATAAGAAGATGCTGGACACGCTGGGGTGGGGGGAAGCCCCCAGTTTCCATAGCTCTCCCTCCCTGTGAATCCAGACAGGAGCACCCCACAGTTTCCCTTTCCAACCCTCAAGTTATTTCCTCCATTTGATGCACACAAAGCACTAACCCCACACACACCCCCAGAGCTCCCCACCCACCCATCCACCCACCCAGCCTCTGCCTGCCTGTCTGCCGTGATTGATTTCATTAATAAAGACGCCCCTCTTCGCTGGGAAAAGCTTTCCTTGGGAAGCAGACAAATGCTTTTAATAAGAAACAAGAGATGGAACAACATCGTCCTCCTCCCCTTGTACTCAATTCTGCGCTCAAATCAACGCCAAAACCCATCTTGATGGAGCAAGCCCTGGTGCAAAGCCTGAGCGGGCCCCAGAGGCAGCCGTGTGCCCTGATGGATCATCCCCACGCTGGCAGCAGCAGGACGGCGATGGCAGCAGCGGCTCAGGACGTGACAGGCAATCGCTTCCCCGTCCTGTCCTTGCTCCCGGTGATGCTCTCAGGGAATCAAAGCCGCACAGGAGCTGCTGCCACGTACCTGCTTCTCTGACAGCCTGAGACTCGGGGGCCATCACCTCACCTCATCACTAATGGAACAAGCCCAAAGACGGCTCGGAGCGGTGACGGACGGCTCGCTGGCACTTCTCGGATGAGACAGCACATCAAATGTACAGCTCCTTGGTCATTAGGATTTGAATACAGCCGGTTGGATGCAAGCACCCATGCTCAGGTAATGGGATTAGTACAGGCTGTGCATTACTATTCACAGAAATGGCAATTCCTCGGAGAAATTAAGCTGAAAGATCTGTTACCATCAGTGCTGCTCGGGTCCCAAGGTACCTGGGGCCTTGCCTTATCGTGTTTGCTTATAATAAGGCGAGATTTACTGCCTGTTTTTATTTCATACTTAACGTTGAAACCGGATCTTTGGCTAAAAGGTTCTGGGAATTGCAGGGCTTCTCTTTCCAGTCACTGAGATCTCTGCCCGTCCCTGGTTCATCTTTTCCTAGAAGACGGCTTCAGTGCATCCCTCACGCCACGAAGAGCCAGCGCAGTCACCAGAGCACCCTACAGAGCTCACTGCACGTTTGTCATCACCATCCCCGTCCTTTGCCATAAGAGAACTTCTGGGTTTTTAAGCTTTAAAAACCAACAGCGGTGCTTGCAAAGTCCCCCCTGGCAGCCACGCAGACACCCAGTCACCATGGCTTTCTCCTTTTTAAGTTAAAGGCACCTACACCGGGTGCCTGTGAGCAGAGCACAGCTCTGATCCCACACATGAGCACCAGGCCAAGCCCAATTCAAGTGGAGGGCGAGTTCTGCTGCCACTGGGATCCACCCAGCACATCCCAACATCCCAAACTCCTCCATCCTTCTGCTTCTGGGAGCATCATCACAGCCAGTAAATTCAACCAGAACATCCGAGAGAAAACAGCACCTCTCCCCCTGCAGCCTCTCACAGCCCTTTCTGGAATAAAGGACCTCTCTTACTCTGTTTATTTATATATAAAAATATACATTTATGTTTACTATAATGCAATTTGCAGTATGCAGACAAGCACAACATTTAAAATGAAACAACTCTCCAACCTGCACCGTGCCACACTGGTGGGTGCAGATGAGCTCCAGAACCTCCCCTCATTTTCGCATTGTCCCACACGTCCCCATGGGCTGCAGGACTTTTGTCCTGGGCCCTGTCCCCAAATTTCCCCCTGTCCTGGCTGCCACTGACCCCTCTGCTCCCTCTGATGGCTTCTCCCCTTGTGCTTTACAAACCATGGCCACGCAGCTCCCTGGAGCAGCACAACCGAGTCAGCTCGTCCCTTCCTCTCCCCAGATCGAAGGGAAGGCAAAGAGGGAAAGGCACCGGTCCCCACGCACGGGACAGCAGCGCTGGGTTTCCAGGAGCTGCGGCGCTGGGACACAGAGATAACAAAGCCGTTACCTTCATCACCGGCTGGGCGAAATACTTGGCGCTCCAGTCACAAAACCCCGTCTGCACCGTGGCCGAAATGAAACTTTTGTGTCCCACGGCATCATCAGCGTCGTCAGTCGTCTGTGCAGAGAGAGCAGGGGGTTAACCCACGCCAGGCGGGGGAGACGCGGGCACCGCAACACCCAGACTCAACACAAGAAGATCAACCGCATTGGCAAGGATGTGAACTTTGCTCCATCCAGCTCTAAGAGCACCACCCCTACACTGACTCTTTGGAAATGTGCAAACTCCCTCATGTGCAAGCCCAAGACATAACCAGGCACTGTCTGAATCAGGGCTGAAGCATCAGAGCATCAACGCAATGAGGTCCCTGGAGGGGTTTTCTCACGGCCCCCCGAGCATCTGGCCTGGGAAATCAAAGATGATTCAGGATAAAGCACAGCCAGAAACAGCTTCAGGTCAAGGGCATGTATGCATTGACATCCAAGTGCACAAGACATCCATAACAAAAAGGGAAAGATCGCTCCATTCAATGAGGTTTCATCCACTTTTTCCAAAATTCGATCCAGGACAGTGCTCCCATCCCCGTGGGAAGTGAAGGTGCCCTGCTAAGGCATCAATGCTTTTTTTCTGTAACCACGCGCTCTGCTTTTCAGCTTCCTCTCAGCCAGCAGCACAAAATCCTGGGGATGTGCTGAAAGGGGAGACACAAAAGTACTCCCAGATGAACACTGACACCACTGACCACGGCCTGAGCAGCCTCTGCCTTCAAGCGATGGCCACACGTGTCCCAGTGCGCTCGGACACACCACATCCATCCGATATGAGTGATCAGAAGGGGATGTGCAGGATTCTGTGTGCATAGGAAAATCTGACTGCTCTACTTGGCACCACATCAGTGCTTCATGCTTCTGTAAGTGGAGAAATGCCCAGCACCTGATGACTGGCTTTACAATGCTAAAACGGATGCAAAACCCTCGCTGGCTCGCAAAGAGGAGTCACTGCCGTTATCCTGGGTCCTCCCTCTCAACTCATCAGCTCTGTTCCTGCAGGGAAATGTGTAACAAGCTTTGGTCTTCATGGTCAGTCTGGGCTCACATCAAAGGGTTTGGGTTGGAGGGGATCTTAAAGATCACCTGGTTCTTGAGTTCAGTTCTGGGCTCTCAGGTCCAGAAGGACAGGAACTGCTTGAAAGAGTCCAGCAGGGCCACAGAGGTGCTGGAGGGAGTGGAGCATCTCCTGCTGAGGAGCGGCTGAGGGAGCTGGGGCTCTTGAGCTTGGAGCAGAGGAGACTGAGGGGTGCCCTCATTCCTGGGGATCCATTGGGAAAGGGCAGTGTCAGGAGGAAGGAGCCAGGCTCTGCTCTGGGATGGCCAATGCCAGGACAAGGGGCAATGGTCCCAAGCTGGAGCACAGGAGGTTCAAGCTGAAGATGAGGCCAAACTTTGTGAGTGTGAGGGTTATGGAGCATGGCCCAGGCTGCCCAGAGAGGTTGTGGAGTCTCCTTGTGTGGAGACACCCAAAGCCCTGGCCGTGTTCCTGTGTGACTGCTCTGGTGATCCTGCTCTGGGGGGGGTTGCACTGGAGGAGCTTTCAGGGACCCTTCCAGCTCCTGACATCCTGGGATGCTGTGATTGTGCACAGCACAGAGGGGCTGCCAAGCATGGAGTGGGTCAGAACTTCTGGGAAGAAGGGGAATATTCTGGTCCAGGGGCACCTCTCAGCTGCTTTGTGTGCTAAAGGAAGAGGAACTTCCCCTTTCTCCTCCTCGGCCCCTGCTCTGCTGAGGATGGAGAAAAAGCATCTGAGGGGCACGGATCTGACTCTGCGTTATCACTCAGGCAGACAAATGTTTATGGAAGAATAAACTATCAACTCTGATTAAACACGTCTTAGTAGCAGCAGGAGTGAATAATGCCCTATCAAAAGCTACGCAACAAGATTTATCCTGAAGGAAAATAATCATCCATTTTTATTTTACTGGTTAGAGGAAGCCAACAGCAGCGAGAAGCACACAAGAGACGTAGAAATAAAATACAAAGAGCAGAACGGACCGGGTCCGAAAGGGGAATCTCTTTACCTGCTCGGGCCCCTTGTCGAACATCTTCCTCGTCCTGGGGAACTGGTGCGAGTGGGGTGTGTACTGCACCCCCATGCTGCCCACGTTGGCAGGCCGCACCGACGCGATGTCGCGGCTCACCGGCTGCTTGGTCACGTCGTTGGTCAGGCTGGAGCTGCTGGTGCTCGTGGTCGGGGGCGACCCTCTGGAGAGCAAAAGAGGATCAGGGTTTAGGGATGATGGAGGGAGTGGAGCATCTCCCTTCTGAGGAGCGGCTGAGGGAGCTGGGGCTCTTTAGTTTGCAGAAGAGGAGACTGAGGGGAGACCTCATTCATGTTTATGAATATTTAAAGGGTGAGTGTCACGAGGATGGAGCCAGGCTCTTCTCGGTGACAAACAATGATAGGACAAGGGGTAACGGACACAAACTGGAACACAGGAGGTTCCACTTCAATTGGAGAAGAAACTTCTTGTCAGTGAGGGTGACAGAGCCCTGGCCCAGGCTGCCCAGAGAGGTTGTGGAGTCTCCTTCTCTGCAGACATTCAAAACCCGCCTGGACGCCTTCCTGTGTAACCTCATCTGGGTGTTCCTGCTCCGGCAGGGGGATTGGACTGGATGAGCTTTGGAGGTCCCTTCCAATCCCTAACGTTCTGTGGTTCTGTGATCCCTGCAGCTTCCTTCTCATAAGTTTTATAGGAAGAACAGAACACAGCCTCCATCCCCTTCATGAGGCATTCGAACCCCAAGCCACGCGTGAACCCTGACTGCGCCAACGCCAAACTGAGGCCAGGAAAACCAACGTGTTGGGAACCTGCAGGTCAAAGTCACAGGCCCACGGGTGATGGTGTCTGACCTAAGGCACTGAAAAGCATCTTAATTTACATGAAAACTGAAATTCACCCTATTGCACAGTCAGACTATCAGCAAACATTAAAACCATCACTTCTGGGCCCTCCACTCCAACCAGACTTTACTGGTGCACGCTGGCTATGGGGTCAGGCCTAAAGCTCACTGTTTTCTGCTGGAGAGCAGCTTTTGGGAAATAATCCCATTTTCAGAGCCTGGCTTTGCCCATTATCTCAGCCTCACTGCATATGGGCATGGCCTGTTGGTCATCAAGTAGCCCCGGCTTTTCTCAGCTGAAAGCACAGAAAATACCAACGGGAAATGTGGACACCACACAGGTCAGGCCACAGATCAGCACGAGTTGGTTCTTCCTTTAGGTGATTCATGTGGCTTGTTTTGCTTGTCCTAAAACCAGGGAGAAAACCCCTCCTTCTCCCAGCCCTGCTGTTTCTGAAGGCCTCATCGCTGCTAAAACAAGAGACCCCGGCACGTTCAGGCTCTGGTGCAGGGAACGGGGCAGGGAGCACCCGAACCCACCCCGGCAAGCGCTGGAAGGGCGCGGGCTTACCCGACTTGGTGGATGTGCATGCCCTTGTTGGTGGGGCTGGCCGGGGCCGACTGCGTCAGCGAGGAGGTGTCGAGGATGCGCTGGGGGCGAGCGTTCATGGTCGCCTGGAGGGGGGGAAAAACACAGCAGAGTCCTCAAGAGCCCAGAAACCAGACCAAAACCACCGCCCGCTGGCTGCGACCCGACACAACTGCACAGCCGGGGTTCGACCAAGCGAAGCTCTCAGTGTGGGTGTATGGAAACGTACCGGGAAAACAGCCCTTGTGCAGTTCCCAACACGTAAGATGATTTTACTGCTTTTTTGCTCAGAAAACGCTTACCAGAAAGCACCCTCCTGTCACCTACAGGGCAATGGCTTTGACTCACACCTAAGTCTTTTCCCTAAATTGCAGCCTCCTGTACCAGCCCTCTGAAATGCAGGACTGCGAGTCCCACCACGGCCATAACCCACGCACACATCCTGGCCCATCCCGACCCTGACTCCACATCCAAGCCAGAACTCTCCTCCTAAACCCAGCAGCGCCCTGAAGCTCCCCTGCAGAAAGGGGGACGCTCTGCATGGCTCACGGGCTGCTTTCCTCCTCTCCCACATCAGCCCCCCTTCGGTGAGACGCTGGAAACTTCTCACACCTTGAAATAACTTCTAAAGGAAGCCCCCAACCGGCACAGCACACCTGCAGGGACAGAAAAGGCTCTTCCCCTCACAAGCTGCCTTTTATCCTCTCTTCAAACCCTACCAAAACCCCCATGGCGCAGCACAGGAGCCACGTGGGGTTCTCGACGATGACGCCAGGGTTTGAACCAAGTGAAGCTGGGTGAGAGCAGCAGCTCTGACACAGCAAAGAGCACATCAAGACAGCTACGAGCCTTCACGAATTAATGCCTTTACGAGGCAGAACCAGCAGCCATCGTGCACAACAATATCCGTGTTCGCGCTCCAAGCTCACACATATCCTGTCCTCTCCTCGTCGGAGCCAAAAGACCTTTCAGGATGACTTCTCCCTTCCTCAAACGACCCAGTGAGGTGTTCACCTCCCTCCTGGGCTGGGTTCAAGCCCTCTTGCCCACCACAAGCTTGGCTTTGAAGGGCAGGAGCGGTGGTGACCGTCACGACACACCACATCTACACCACAGCAAGGACCAGACAAGGCCAATGCCACCACCTCGGGAGGCCTGGCTGCCCCTGCCACCCTCCTTTTTGCCTTATTTTCTCCTACAGGGTGGGAGGGCTCCTCCGAGCCACCCATCTCCATCACCCAGGAACACAGCGGGGTCTCTGGTCACTACAGGGGGCTGGGGCAGCCGATCCCACCGTGAGAATGGAAATAAAGCAGGAACAACCCAGCAGACAGCGACACGTTATTATTCACAGCTCCTTGTAATTAGTCCCAAAGGCTCGGGTTGAAGGTCCTCGCAGTCAGGTCTCTGTCACCCGAAGCAGAACAGGGCTCCCCGTATCCCAGCAGAGGGACAAGGTCAGCAGAGGAGGATGAGCTGGAGGGGCACGGAGAGGAGCACAGCGAACAGCCTTCCCTGTCCTGGGAAAATTTAAAAGCTGTGTCTTTTAAAAAGCTGTGTCCTTTAAGAGCTGTGTCTTTTAAAAAGCTGTGTCTTTGTTTTAAAAAGCTGTGTCGTCCCTGCACACAGCGAGGGCTGCAGTTCAGTGGATTCTGCTGGAGGCAGCAGCTCCCCATTTCCCGGGGATTGGCTCCTCTGCCACTCAAATCTCCTCTTTCCAGGAGGGGAGATGCTAATTCGTGATTTTGCAAACAGGCCCCAGGTTAATTCAAAACGAGCGCTCTGTCAGGAGCACAGAGAAGCCTGAACCGAGGAGTGGTCATGGAAAAGCAACCCCTGGGATAACCCAGCCTCCCATTACAAACAGCTGGATGGAGCAACAGGGGGAGCCAGCAAACTTTCCCTAATTAATTGCCATTTTGCAGCATTTTAACAGCCCACCGCTGCTTACTGGGTCCTTTTTGTTTGTTTTGGTGCAGGCGAAACGGCGCGGTTTGGATTTCTGAGCAGGACCAGGCCGGGAGCGGGAGTTGAACCATTGAGATCTGCAGCACAAATAGAAATCGCAGCTCGTGGCGCCGGCCCAGCCCGTGAAACACAGCGGCCACGTTCGCAGCCAGGAAGCGCGCACGCCTGCGCTGCCCACTCACCGGCTGCTCAGAAAGACAGCGCCCCACTTACAGACAGAGCTGTGCTCCCGGCTCCGTTAAAGCACCGGGATGGGGCCGGTCTGCTTCGAAAACAAAAACCCTGGTGTAAATCCACGCAGAGCCTTGCAAACATCGCTGTTTTGCCATTATGGGCTCATCATCTGAGCCTTCGCACAGCCACAAACCTCCTGGGTCTGGCCCCGGGGGGACTAAAAAGCAATAAGGTATTTAGAGCTCCCAATGTTCTCTACCCCGCTGCTCCCACTGCGCTGCCTCATCACCCGCTTGGACTGAAATGTGCTTCGAAACCACAAAGACTGAAAGCACAGAGCTTGGCTACGTTTTGAGGCTGAATCTTGAGCTCCCCAAAAAGGCAGACGCTGGTAACCAACACCGTCCAGCGGCACCAGCCCCTGGCCAACGCCGGGGGGCATCTCAGGTAAGGAGCCCATCAGCGACGGGCGCTGTGGCAGCGCTTGCTCCGGCGTCCTCTTGTCCCCTGAATTCTGTGTTAATTGGAACAGCAGGATTAAAATCCTAGAGGATAGACAAGTGCTCCACTTCACCCGAAGCAGCATTTTTTGCTTAAACAAAGACAAAACCAACTGTGGGTTTTTATTCAGTGCTGAAATTCAAACAACCGAAATGGGAAATGCGCTGGCTGCACGCACTCGGGAGGACCAAAGGGCCCACGGGCATCACCCGGGCTGCTCCTTTTCACATCCAACAAAGCCCCATTAGCATCAGGGAAAGATCTTGGGATAGAGTTAGCGGAAATTTAATTGTTACTAATTGGCATTGCAACGACAGCTCCCAAAATCTGCGCCCCCCCCCCCCCCCCACAGCAGAGCGCAGCGAATCCCAGCAGCGCAGCTCACAGCGGGAGCTTGGTCCATAACGAAACGAATCAAGGCCAGATCGCAACCCGGGATCTGCAGCCTTCGCTTCCAGCTCGGTGGGCTGTTAATGGGGTATTTTGTTGAAGAAATAAAGCGGTTTTAGAAGCCACCTAAGCCAGGTGGTACCGGCAAAAGCAAAGCCCCCAGTAGCACAGCCGCCAGCCCACGACGCACGCAGCTGCCCAGACCGCGCATTTAAACGCTTTCCTTATGGATCTCATGGCTAAGGCAAAGAAGAACAAATCGGGTTTGTTCACCGAAGCATCCCCAGGTAAAAACCTTTGGAAATGGGGATGCTTCTCTTATCGTTTTGCAAAACCATCGGAGAAGCCATTGCCCGAGGAAGCCGGGGACAGCGCAGCTGTGCGGGAAGCAGAGCGTGAGATGCATGAGACCCATCCACTTCAGCTTTGGGACTCCATTCGGCACCGGGACCTTGAGGTCCAAACTCATCAGAACCGACACCGAATTTACCAAACCCATCTCAACATTCACTGTGGAAATCACAGCGTAACGAGCACAACCCCTGCTGGTCCCCGGGAAGGCACCCGAGGGGCACAGCAGAGGAGTAACATCGTCGTTAATGTGGAGACATCTCCAACAGCGAGGGAGTAAGTCCCCAAAAAATATTTAAGACAGGAAAAGCAGATTCGGTTCCTCTTTACACCCCTTTTAATCCCACAGTAGGAGTAATGTTTCGTTTTGCAAAGAGCCTTCCAAAATACAAAACTGAAATCGTTTCATGCATCTAGAGCAGAGAGAGGGAAATCTTTCGCCTTTTCCCTTTCGGATTCCCCCCGGTTTGGTCTCTCCAGCCCGGCAGGAATTGGTTGTGCAGCCGAATCCCCAGGGAAGGGCTGACCTCGTGCCCACCGTCAAAATAAACCCCTGTCCCAAAGCCCAGACTTCACCACTCACTGCTTTGTACACTTGAACAGAAGAGTTCAAATAAGTAACTGCTACTTTCTCAATAGAAAATCAGATTTAAAAGGAAGAAATCTCTACGGCGTTAAAACAGCAGTGCACAACGCCGGCATCTCTTGCTGCAACTCGAGCTCAGCGGCCTAAGCCTGAAGATTTGGGGTTATTCACTGGAAACCACCAGTAAGAGACGTCATCCCGCACTGCGACGGCTCATGGTCCGGATGCTGGAGCGACCCAAAAGCAGGTGGGAAGGAGGGGGTCGGGGAGCTTCCCCGGCGAGGGGGAAGGCGTCGGTGAGAAGATGTTCTGGGGTGGCCCGGCGCTCAGTTTGGGTGGGAGGTGCGGGGGGGCTCCTGCAGCTCCCCAGGGCTGGCGCCGGCGGGCGGCAGTGAGGGCAGCCTCCAGGGCCATCTTGTCACCCTGGGGGGATGGATGTGATGAGGATGGCGGTTTAGGCCTGGGGTGAGGAGTGGCGGGGGTGTCTGCATGCTGACTCACATGTACTAGTTCACCTGGGTTGGAGAGCCGTTGTGGCTTCAGTCTGCAGGCCAGTCCCACTTGCATTATCTAAAGCGGTTTGCAAACGGACAACGTCGTGAGGTAGATTTAAGGTTTCTCCCAGGGACCGATCTAGACAAGAAGACTTCTAAACAAGACCTGCTGAGGTCCGTACCTAATTTACCTCCTCAAACGACCCCAGGCCCTCCCCCGTTTATTTATTTGCCCTGATCAAGAGCCACACGGGTGTTCATCACCTGGAAACATGAAAAGCAATAGGACTGAAGCAGGACCACTTACCAGAGCCCTCCAACGCATCTACTCAGCTCAGCCTACCCACGCTTTGCCCGAACACGAGGAGTTTAAGAGACAGTCGTACCTTGTAGGCGATGCTATTGAGGACCTTCATGGCCAAGTCGGAGACGTCGGGATAGGGGTCGGCAGCCAGGTGAAGGAGGACTCTCCAAATCTGGGTGTAAACGCTGTTGAAACTCACACCTAAAATAACAAACAAAACAAAAAGCAAAGCGCCGCGGCTCGTGACAACCCATCAAGGCTCCGATCGGACGTGAGAAAATCCACGAGGGCTCCAACCATCACCGTGACATCCCAGGGAACGGCGAGAGGAGAGCTCAAAAACGCCCCGTGCGGGCGACTCGCTCTCCGTTTTGCCTGCGTGTGAACCCTGCCAGGGCTCGTGAGATCCGAGCGGGGGAGCGGGAAGCGAAGTGAAGGCTGCCCAAAGCCGCAGCCACGCTGCTCGTTTGCTGGGCTGCTGGAGCAGATACCCTGAAGAGGCCAAACTGAAGAGCAGAGCGAGCCCTTGGAGCTCCCGAGCTACAACACTGAACGGTGTAAAAGCACAGTTACCGGCTTGTATTTTTATGGTTATTTTTATTGCTCTTTTAAGCACTAATACTCAGTGTGAGCGGTCAGGGGTTTATGTATCCTACAAGTTTACTCAACACCTCGACGTTACCAGGGACGCTTTAGGACCTGCACCTTTGCGAAGCTGCAAGCCTCACTCAGTCCT